ATCTGTTTAAATGTCTTATGGGGACTGTTGGGGACTTACACGGCAGAGGAGTGGTGTTCTTTACTTTATTTTATATTTTCATTGGGAATTGATTTTAAGTTAATAACATTGTCCTTCTTAAGTTATAAGGGGTTGTTTGATAGGCAAAATGGTCAAATAAATCCAAAAAGTAAAAGGGTCTGAAAACTATCACTAAGCACAATAGTGAATAGCTTGGACTCTGTTGTCTCTCTATTTTTAAGATGTCTAGAATGTTACAGGTGTTGACCCAATGATCTTGGACCGAATGGTATATTCCAGCACATGAGTCCTGGTTGATCCTTTGTGCTTTTTGTCATCTCCAAATCCCCATACTGTAGTAAAAAGCACAAAGTGTGTCTTTGGGTCAGGAGGGGCACGATAACAGAGTTTTACCCAAGGACCTTCAACAACAGGTTTTTGTGGCCATGCACGATCGACTTGCTTTTTTTCCACACAAATATTTCATCAGGTTTTTTATTTTCCAGATGTGATGTGTTGTATTTTATTATTCTGGAAGAGGCAGTGGAATAATTCAAAGAAGAATTAGACTAAGTTGCTGTGAAGTAAGCCACAGCAGAGTCTATCACAAGACAGCTGGATTGTGGGAAATTTTATTCGTACAGTACTATTTTTTTTGTAATGCTTGATTGTAATTAGCAATGTCATCAGTATCGATTTCAACCAAATTTCTTCTATTTCAGCTCCTGTTTCCAGTTTCTATTATTTCATTTCCAAATACAATTCATGATTCATTCAAGTCACTGCCCATCATGAGGGAGTGAGTGTGTAACAGTCACTCAAAGGTGTTTGGAGTTTGGCATGACTTGTTTTCTTTTCCATTTTTTTTCCGAGTTCTTTTTGATATTTGGACATTACACCTTTATTGAATGAAGTTAACTGTTAGGCTGAACGAGGGAGAAAGAGCAGAGAGGACATGCAGCAAAGACCCAGGGAATCGAACATGCGGCAGGAGGACTAAATCCACTTCAGGTGAGATGAGGTTTCGTAGTTGATCACGCTCATCTCTTGTCAATATCTCCCTCAAAACTTTGTTTGCCCTTTGTCAGATGAGCAGGAGAATTCACCATGCCTGAGGACAGAAAAGAGTGTTGCCAACAGATGCAAAATCCCCCTGTGAGAGACCCCGCTTTAATAATGTGTGAGTCAGCTGATCTCCAGTGAGTTCCCTGCGCTGGTTCTCCCTCTTCAAGTAGCAGAACAGAGCAGGGTTTATTAATATCTGCCCATGCAGGTGCTGATGCTGATTCAGGGAATTACCTAAGAACTTTGGCGCAGAGCGTTTGCTTGAAGACTACTACTTGGCGTGAAATATTTCATATTTGGCCAGCTGGTGGAAAATCGCTCCTCTCACTATAGAAAACTCTGCCACAAAAAGACCTGGCAGTGGCCAACGCAGGGGTCAATTCCACAGCCATGGAAATATTAAAACACCGTGAACTGAGCTCACAGGCCCCGTCTGACTTTATGTAAAACATGTGATATCAATTGAAGCTCTATATGGTGCTTGTTAAGACACGCAGCAGGCTAGACAACCAGATCGCTGCTGAATTTTCATATTATTAACAAAGTTATATCCAATAGAGTTTTAAATTCCTGCTATAATCTCTACCACAGAAAAACACAGCCATTCCTTCCCATTATATCTATGTTGCTACCATGGCTGCATATTTGTTTTTCCATTTTTACATCAAATGACAACCTGCAGAGTCAAAGAAAGCACAGTCTGCACATCAGTGCACTTACAGGAGCTGGGAATATTCAAGTTTATGGCGATATGATTTTCTCAAAGATATGTTTTGTGGTCGCATGTGCTCTTTCCCTTTTTTCTGGAAACACATCAAAGCTCTTGTAAAGTGCATTTTGCAACAGGAGCCCAGTGTCGCCTCGCAGGATTGCAAAATAAACAAAAAGTGTTTTAAGTCACGTAGATGTAGACTTTGTCATTGGCTTCCCCCCTGAAGCCCTCTGGCCATAAATCTTGCGTTACTTCTATATTTGACAAGCATCCGTCCACTCCAAAGAAAGCACTGGCACTATGTGATCGCCACTTGAAATACATACTGTACACAGTATTTGGAACCCACAATTGCAGGTTTATGTTCATAAGAAGCTCGAGCAATGATATTGTTGCGAAAAAAATATTCTCAGCAGTATCGGGTTTTGTTTGCTGAGACTCATTTAGAACCGATTTTGATTAATTTTCATCGAGTGAACTTTGTGCATCAAAACCTCTGGTCAAATTCTGGCAAAAACACACAATTACTGGTTAATGTGGAGATGATCTGCAGGCTTTTTGTTTTGAGTGAGGAATAATTATGTTCATTTTTCTTTGACTCTGCTGTTTTTGCTCCCATTGCTTCCAACACAATTTTTCCATTGGCCTCTTTAACCACCCTACCTATTTAAACAGTCAATAAACAAGGCAGCTGCTCATAACAAATGATCTCACCAGTGTTTGTCCAATTAAAAATAGGAAAAGCTAAGATAAACTTATCAATAATGACCCAGAGTGTATTGCAGAGCAATTGGAAGAAAGTTACACTTCAGTTCTTCAAGCTTCCTGTCCGTTGTAAGTCACCAGTGCTGAATCCTGTCGGAAATCACAGAGGATTATGGGAAAGGAAAGACATGATTCCACACCATTTACAACCATGGGATGTGGTCACGGCATCATGTTAGACTCCATTTTTACTGTTCTCCACTTTCCACACGGTCTCGCTCGACACATCCCTCGCTCATTACGATGACCGGTGTCACTCTTGTCTTTTCCCACTCTAGCTGCATCGCCATTGGCCGCGCCGACCTGGATTTGACTCGAGGGCTGTAATAACACCAGAGCACTGCGGTGGACGAACCCATGCCTGGATAAAATACAGGAGACACAGCGGCTCTCTCCAAACCAGGAGCAGTCCGGTGCACCTCCTCACCATTCCTCTTCTTACTCACGCACTGCCTCTGTGTGTATGTTTACTTTGAGCGTTAATGGAGTGTTGTGGAGGTCGGACACACTGTTTAAACGGATGCAATCACGATGTCCGTCTGTACGGAGGCTTGGCTGAGGTGCCTCTCTGCCTGTGTCATCAGACTGTTTCCATGCTGTTCAATCAGTGACTGAACTCTGAGCACTGGAGAAATGGCATGGAGAGCAGTTGTGTTTATTATGCTGTATTAAGTTTTAGTCAAAGAACATCTAAGAGCGAGCAGGTGCTTCTGAGCTCGCAGCGTATTTGTTTTACTTTGTAAAAGACCCCGGCTGGGGAGAGGGTTTCATTTTATCCCTTTTAACAAACAGCAATTAGACTCACTAATGACCCTGGGTTGGATGTATAAAGATTCTCGTTTATCCTGCTTTTTCTTCTCCTTTTTTTTCTTTTCATTCTTCCATCCTACTGCAAGTCTTTTCCCCCCATAGTGCTTCAGACAGGCAGAGTCAGACATGCACAGATGCTCACGCTTTACGTCAGCTCCGTCTGAATTCTCGCGCTGGTATGTCTGAGCTCCACCAGCTCCCGGACCCGGTTGCAGATTCTCATTGCTTTTTCATTTAGACAGCCTGTCCCACCTAGTTCCAAATAAAATACCAGGAGGAGGGAGGGAAACTCATAAATCCAGCCCTCGAACAACAACAACATCCACAGTGATATCTCTTGATAATAGAGATGAGCTACTATCGCTCTTCTCCAGGGGATCGCTGCTGATTGATTTACATTCAGGCTCAGTCCAACTCACCCAGACTGTTTAGGAGATAAAGTAGTTCCACCTGCTGTGTTGCCATGTACGCCAGGAGGAAAGGGATAGGTGGCAGACAGCGCGCCAAGCAAAGATACCAGAGATAATCCCAGGTTTCGCTGGCCCTGGGACATCAGGTGGGCAGCTGCCACACAATAAGGAAACAAACTTGTTCTTTAAGAGCAGAAGAGTTCAATCTCATTGAATGAAAGCACGTCTGCACTTTATTTATGAATCATGTGTCTGGAAGCATGTTTGAAGTTGTACAAGCTGCCTGCTGAGTCAGACACTGTCTCTCTGTCTCTGTTTCATATCACTTTTGAGTGGTTTCAGTGTGCACAATAAAAAAGAATCAAACGCAGGATTCTCTTGAGCATGGCTTTTGTCATAAAAAGAGAAGGGTTATTGCCTATCACGTTCAGAACTAGAATTCAGTGTCACTGGCTCCTCCACTTGGACAGGTTTTTAATTCCCCTCGCTTCTCTGTGTCAAGAGTAAGGTTTAACACACGGTACCTGTGAGGACATTAAAACTTTATTAACTCTGAACTGAGTGAACTCATTTGCTGTGTCTAAACAGAGTATCCACTCAAATAGACTGTTTTCACTGACCAATGTTTGTCTGCAGGACAGTGCCAAACCAGCAGCGAGAGAGGAAATAGGCCCTCAAATATGCGGTCATGCGGACACTCTAGAAGGGAGGCATACTGGGATTTTTTTTTTATTATTATGACAACATTTGATTTAACTTTTTAGAGTCTCTGGCCCCGAAGGTCACAACAACATATCCAAAGTTATATTCACACAGGTACATTGCAAGTGTGGGCGCTGCCGATCTAATCAAATCACCTTTGTTTTTACCTCAGCCTGAAGAGAAAACCATCTTGCATTTCACTGCAAATACTTGAAACCATAGACTGTATATAAAACACATGTACACAGTATAAATATGTGACATATGAACCCAAATGAATTAACATCTGAATACTGAAGATCTTAACATGTATGTGGTGTATTACAGTATAGTGTGTAGTACTGTAGATTACCACGTACTTTCTTTACTTTATTGGGATTTTCTTTTTTTACATTTCAAAGTTTGGGTTTGGTGATGTTTGACCCAAGGCGCTGCCCGTAGTGTTTGAATGAATCGTAGCAACCATAGACACGGGGAGGGGGCGGGGACTTCGAGCGTGTTGTTTCCATGGACACCGTCTGTCGGTAACAGTAGAGCAGGAAGTGCAAACTGACGGTGAGTTTGTTCTTCGTTTCATATTTGCACGATGCAGTGAATGTTAGAAACACACTCTGACGTTGCAGATGCTACCAAAGCTGCAGTGACTCTGACAGAGCAGTGTGATCACACTGACCACGCGGATACCAAAGGTTAGATCGAGTTAGAAGAGATACTGTGATAGAGACATGATGTCTTCACGTTGTTATCTTTAAGACTCATGGCAGCTCACACACTGATGTGTTGGATTGCTTGATGTAGGTCTCCTGTCTACATATGTGTTGTGGGAGCTTAATATTAAAGTAAGAATGAGTTTAAATAACATTTTATTCAGGTCAGAGCTATGGGGAGTTTTAGGACTAGGATGTATTTGTCCAGTTGTTATGTGAATATGAGGAAAACATTTATTTTCACACTTGTTTCTGAGGAAATGTCTTTTTTCTGCTGATGGACCTATCTTTTAAACAACACTGTTGGGAGTGTGGGTGGAATGGAATACAGGGAAATACAGTGGTCGTTTTTCTTTTTCTCACCTTGAGAAAAGTAACTAAAGTCAAAACTGTGATGGGGCATAATCTAAGGAACAAAGAGCATTAAAAGGAATCATGCAAGTCAAAAAATCAATCTCTAAATAAAACTTGAAAAAATATTTTAAATTACGAGGTTTGCATTTTTATTTGGATCTGCACCAAATTGGTCAAACTCTGAAATATCAGTCGCCTAAACATGCCTGATTTTTTTCATCAATATCCATGAATTATTCTCTGAAAAAAAGCAACGTTAAAGAAAGTGAAATTAAAATTCCAGGAGCCGCCCCATGATCTGGATCTGCACCAAAATGTAATGGGTTCTTTCCTGACCCATACAACATTCTTTTACCAAGTTCAGTGGAAATCCTTCCAGTAGTTTATATGTAATCTTGCTCATTTATTGACAGACACGAAACATAACCTCCTTGGCGAAGATAGAAAATGTCCTCACAAAGGTCCATCTCCAAAGTGCCATGTGTTAATGTTTGGTTTCAGAATCTCCCCGCTGGTGAAATGGGGGTATCGCTGACCAAGGCAGCCCAGTGGACCAGCTCTGGTACTGGCAAACTGGAGTTGACACCAATGAATCAGTCTTTGCTGAAAGAAATCCTGCGATTTGTGGAGCAGTTAGTCTCCCAACACCCACAGGAGGCAGAGCATGTGTTCGAGGAGCCGCTCCAATGGAGTACCACTTTAGTGGCATCTGATTTCAAAACAGACTATGACATCAGGTTAGTCTAATCATGAGGCCCGCAGCTGGCTGGCCACTGCTTTCAGTATTACGTGTCTGTGCAGGATATGCTGTCACCATGGTGTCCAAATGTATTTTACCTTTGCTATACTCAAAGCAGTAGGGTATAATTAATTTGTTTTTCAGCTTCAGTAAGACTGAGGACATTCCATTTGATTTCATCAGAAATCCTGGCCTACTCTCAGCGTGTGGTTAGCTTTATATCCTGTAGCTGGAAAGTAGAGAAGTGCAAAAACAAAAATACAGACTCTGATCTTCCTTAATTATGTTGGCATTTATAATCTAATATAAAACACATGATGGTAGAGTGAAACTTTAGGTATATACATTTTTTGTTTTCTTCTCCCCCTAGTGACTTCAATGTACAATCCCATGAGAAAGACAGCGAAGGGCAACCATTGCTGCAGCTTTCTCCTCCGACTGTTCATGTGCGAAACTTCAGCCAGCTCTCCAAAGTAGTTCATCTGGCAGCTGATAAGAAGCTGGAGGAAGTTCGAACGTGTCTAGAAGGTAAGCACAATGACCACAAGATGAGGTTTGAATATGACTTGCATCCTAAGCAGTCTTGCCACAAGCATACCTCACATAACCCACAGACTTAATTTGTTTGTCCTTCTTGTTATTCTCTACAACCATCTAATTATAGCGGCATTTGTAATTCCTTACAGATATGTATTTACTTTAAGGCCACTGCTAACAGGTCAGATTGGCATATTTGTCCCAACAAAGGAATCTATGAATAATGTAGATATAGTGTATTTCCAATGCTTAATGCAGAGGGAATGTTGAAAAGTGATTTGTTTGTTACTGAACCCAATTAGCATTTTCTGAAACACTGAACTGCATCTGCTCCTGAAAATGTGTTAAGACCAGTCTCTGTTATTGTTCAGAAAACAGAGACACCGAGGTTAAAATTTTTGGTCCTCGCTTTGGTGACATCTGGGGGAGAGAAGACACCCAAACCGATCTGGTAGACGAAGACCGAGCAAAGGACTCAGAGGTCAAGGTCAAGCTGTTTCGTTTGATCCAAAATATGGACAAACAGCTCCTCAGCAAGCTGCTTGAAGAAATATCAGAGTAGGTTCTTCTCCATTACCTCCGACTCCTTTAGCATTCAATCAGATTTCCCATCCATCCTTAATGGCTATCCTCTGTCTGTTAGATCCATTCAGATATGTGGTTGGAAGAGGCAGCAGGTTAAAAAAACTAACCAGATGAATTAGATTGTTGTTTGGTTTTTCTACATTTTTGTCACAGACAAATCAGGCTGGACCCGGCCGCAGTAAACAATGACGTGGAGTCGCTGAAACAATTCTGCAGTGGAGGGAACAAGAGGGTGTTGAAGTCTGTTCGATACACATCAGGTTTGAATTATCTACAAATGTCACTGGGTTGCAAAGTACAGCATTTGCCATTCACACTAATGCTGGATATTCCAAAGCATAAAAAGCCTGTGTTCTGCCGCCATGAAAGACATGGAAGTCATTATATCTGTCAGATTACAGTTTACTAAGTCATTAGTCAGGACATGTTTTTTTGCCTAATTGCAGTGTATTTATCATTCTCTAACAAAGCATTCATAGGCCTATGCACAGCAAGCGATATATGTCGTCTATGTCCCCTGTTTCCGAGCTTGAAGGACACATTCTATGAAAATACCCTTAAAACCAGATTTTAAATATGATGGTGGCTATTCGCTCAGTTGTTTTTAGCTGTTGCAAGTGAAACTGTGGCTCTTCTGGGATAATGTATACTGCTGCTCGGAGTGCTGTCATCCTCTTTATGATGTGACTTGATATTATACAAAACATATTCTAAAGTTTCGTGCAGTTTTTGGATTTCAACATTCCCTTGATCCTTGTTTTCTTTCTTAGATTATGAATTTTCAAATGGCTGCCGTGCCCCTCCATGGAGACAGGTGCATGGTGAGATTTGTTACCTCATAATTGAGCCTTGTGACACTGAGGACCTTCACATCACCTGCAGCAACGCTGGAGTTTTTCTCAACGGGGTAAGACAAGAAAGATAAAGCACTGTGACCTGAAACAGTCTATGTAATGCTGTTTTCTTTTTCTGTGTGAGAAAACTTTCACATATCAAGAGGTAAACTTTCTGGCTAATAACTTCTGGTAGACCAAAAACTACCGCACTGTCAGTAAATTGTCAGTGTATCCACCACTATGGTTTCTGTGCTCCAGCCATTTCAAGAAGAGTATGTATTTGTTGTTCACCATGAGCAATTGCTTGTGACAATATTAGGTCCCCTGTACATTCTTCCACTTGGAAGGAGCCGCATATTTAAATTCAATTTAAATCTTTATTTAATCAGTCAGTCTCAGTGAGATAAAGATCTCTTTTCCAAGAGAGCCGCGGAACATTAAAAACCTCCTTGTGCCCAACTTTGTCCTAACCCAAAGAGATGACATCTGTTTCCAGGCATATAATGCTGTTCCCAGGTGAGAACCCTTCCCAAAGTAACCAGTAATAGTTATCAAATAATGTAATGTAAAAGCTGTAGACACAAATGTAAACCCTTTTTCTAAACATCCACACAAAACATTGCTCTCACAGAAATAGGCTTCACCTGGCTGCATAGTGCAAGACAGTTGCTTTGCAACATACTAATTGGGCTTTGTTTTTTTTCCAGTTAGTTGTTTGTAGCTTTGTGACTTTTCTCCTCACAGTCTCAGAGATACTGAATAGTGTAAATCAATTCAAGGTCATTGCTGATCTGTATCACAGCTTAAAATTGTGCAGAAGACTAACGTAGAAGGGATATTCACCATCTCTTCATATATCCTAAAATATACACACAGTTTGCAGTTTGCTTAGTATGTCTAGATCAAACCATGGGCATTAATTGTTAGTTGTGTTATAAATATGTAGCTGTGTTATACCATGCAGCTCAATTGGCATTCACTAGAATTGGCAGGTCTGCCACTGGTGCCCGGTTCTCTTCACAGATGAGAGCAGATTCAAACTGAGCAGATGCGACAAGTGTGAAAGCGCCTGGAGACACAGTGGTGAACAAACAGTAACATCATCATCATCAGCATGGGGACACATATTCTTGGTCGCACAGACCTCCATATCATAGACAATGGTACCCTTGCTGTTCGGTGCCGGGATGAAAACCTCAGAGTGATATACACTCACCGGCCACTTTATTAGGCACACCTGTTCAATTGCTTGTTAACACAAATCAGCCAATCACATGGCAGCAAGTCAATGCAGTTAGGTATCTAAATGTGGTGAAGACGACTTGCTGAAGTTCAAACTGAGCATCAGAATGGGGAAGAAAGGGGATTTAAGTGACTTTGGCGGAACGGGAGATTCGCATCATGGATGTGCAGCCGACAAATCTTTAGCAACTGCGTAATGCTATCATGTCAATATGGACCAAAATCTCTGACGAATGTTTCCAACACCTTGTTGAATCTTTGCTACGAGGAATTAAGGCAACTCTGAAGGCAAAAGAGGGTCCAGCCCGGTGCTATAGCAAGGTGTACCTAATAAAGTGGCCGGTGAGTGTATATGTGTGTGTAAAGACATACAGTAGATAAACATTGCTCATCACTTGTCCAACAGTGGGAATCTGAAAGTCTGAGACCACTCATGGGAAAGTGTGTGAATGAAGATTAAATGCATAGTAAAAGTGAGAATACACAAATGTTTGTGAAATCAATATGTTTATACTGTATGTGAAAATTTAAATATGTGTTTGAATGAACATGTGTATGTTAGAGAGAATGTTTGCATGTGGGATGCCTAGAATGTATTATGTCCTGTGTGGCACCTCATCAAACAGGAGTACAGGGGATAAAGAGCAAATTATCATTATCATAATCAGAAAGATAATAAAAGTTGTCAGTACTACTTTAGAATATGTGAACAGTTCAATTTTTTAAGATATTGTTAATTAACCAATTAATATTTGTATCAATAGTAAAACATTAAAATGTATCCAGATTTAAACAAACGGATCTAAAAATTTGTAAAAGTGTCCCTTTAAAGTTTAAAGGGACACTTTTACTGATGAGGGAATGTTTAAAGTTTAAACATTCCCTCATCAGAACCATTGAACCTATGAAGGCTTCAAAAAGTCAGGAATCTTTCAATGACAGAAATCTCTCTTCAAGTGTTTGCAATCATTTCATCACATAAGACTGTGCACGCTGCAACAAGCATTAGGTTTCCTGTCTCTGTTTCTCCACCTGGAAATAGTTCGTCCAAGTTGAAAAAAAAACACAACCTAAAACCGAATGGGGGACGTTGATGCAAAAGACACCTCAAAGAGCAGTAGTGTCTTAAACTTAATTTAGCGGTTTACATGGTTTTACACTTCCTCTCTGAGGTCGGCTGGCATGTGGGTCACATTATGATTGTGGTTTTTGGAATTAATGAGGCTGTTTTTCACTTTGTTTTCACAGGGCATAAAACAGGAGGGGGCGGAGAGTGGCTACGAGCGAACAAGTGATACGTACACAGACCTGCTAACACTCCTGAAGAGCAGATCTCCATATTTCGCTGAGCACATAAACCAGCAGGTACGGCAGAATATAGGCAGATGCAATTATCATCATCAACACATTAAAACCTTTTTCTTGTAGCCTTGAATTTTAGCTCTCGAAGGAACAATGCGTGGGTGTTGAAGAGCCTCTTTGTCCCATGAAAGGGGTCAGTCTCTCTAAACCTTTGATTTGATCACTGATGCTGTGTGACTCATGTTCATAAACAGAGTAAGGACTGTGTAATCAGTGTCTGTGCTGTTCCACGCTAGTGAGCTAGTGTCTGGTTGTCACTATGTTGAAAAATTTCTGAATCAACCTCCTCTGTGTTCCAACATCAAAAAGACTGAGGCCCCATACCACCCACCCCCTCTACACACATGCACACAGACATTGAAATCCTTTATTACAGCCTATGATTGAAATGTGTGATTTAATATGTGTGCCTGATGTGCACAGCACAAGGCAAACATGCTATTATTCCGCTTATTATCATTATGTGTGCCTGATGTGCATAATCAAACGGTTTGCTCTAAAATCGCAAAAACAATGCGACAAAATTTACCATACATTTTAATGGGGCTCACCCTTTAGAGCGAGAGTGGATGACATCATCACTAGAGCAGGTGTGAAATGTTTTCTTAAAATTGCTCTCAAATCCACAAATGTAGTTCTTTATACATATTTTTTCTACTCATATCATAGGATAAGTGCAATGGCAATATTCGACAAAGTCTTGGCTAATAACCCAAAGACTAATAAACAAAACAACCTTTTCCCACAAACAAACTTTTATTTTCTTTACCTGCTTTATTATTTTACGCTCTTGTTCTCATTTCATAACCGGACTACTATAACAATCAACCTGGATCACATTGTGGTTAAAATAAACAAGTTTTATCCATAACTATACATTTTGGGGTAATGCATCTTGACGTTGGTGGCCACCCGCTAATAAGCAGATCAAAGGAAAAATTATTTTATTAGCAGCAAATAACAAGTAGTACTTCTAGTACTATAACTGCCACTACCATTACTTTTACTAATTTTGCTACCACTGAAGGGTTCACTACTACTGTTCTCCTCAAACAGCACTTAGCAGTTAGCATTGAGCAGTTCCCATGGCAACATGACAATAATTGCGACAGACTAAAAGCCCTCATACATTAACAGAAACTTAGTGGGAAGCAGGATTCATCCTATGATGTCCTTTGATGTCAGTAATCTTACTTATTGCCCTTAAAGGCTTCTTCTTCATAATCCATTTTTATTGGCGGGTGGTAACCTAGATGCATTACTGCCATCTACTGTGTTTTTCGTCTTCTTTGTTCGGTTTATTGACGGTGGCAAACAACGTCAAGGTGCATTAACACCATCCACTGTGTCGGTGAACTCCTGAAGGTACTGCAGCTTGTCCTCAAAGGTGCTCCCTTACATTTCATTTGTCCTTTACTTTGAAGACACTATTGTAAATTTTATGTCTTTGATATAGACACACTAGATGGTGGTCATCAAATTTGAATACCCACCAATAAACCAAACGAAGAAGTATAGTATAACACTTCTGAACTGTTTTATTACAAGGCCATTGTTTCTGATCCACAAATTGTTTCCAAGATGGCAACGAAGGGCAAATATGAACCATCTCCAAGATGGAAGAATCGTGGTCTCGTGTCTCCATGTGGGTAAGTGATAATTCCCATCCTAAAATATTTTCAGGCTTGGATCCCTCTTGCTGAGGAGAGGAGCTTCAGATGACAGTGATTCCAGGTCTTTGCCACATGTGTTCAGTGTGCCAGCAGCCACACATTATAAAGACATGCTTACATGCTTTGTGAATTTGAAGACAAGTGCAAATATTCACACTTACAATGATCAGAGTTAATAAATACGTGTACAGTGGGGAACACTGGTTGCCCCATTACAGAGAGAAAGCTTGGAAAAAGGTTTTTGAAATCCCCAGAGGATCCATCACATATGGTCTTTGATTGATAAATAGATCTAGCGAGGGCTGAGCTGTTGCAGCTGTATCTTGTGATATCTGTACCCATTTGAGAAGAAACTGGCTCAAGATAAAAGTATCTCAGTTGCTTAAAAAAAACTGTAGAACTCTAGTCTTAAGTTGTTATATAATGATTATATCAGAAAAATATCCATTTTCAAAATAGGAGCCGGCATAATGGTTCTTATTTCACATCATTACAGAAAAGTGGAGGAAAACAACCCTGGAGAGGAGAGGTCTGGTGAAATACAGAAGAAAAAGCTGAGAAAACGAGCCAGCAGCAAGATGAAAGTAGAACGCATATCCTCCCAGAAAATGTAAGTGTCCTGAGTGAGTTATGCTTTGTTTTAATCTATAAGGGGTCTTTCTTTGTAGATGTTATATAAAGGTGAACTAAATACTGCTTTACCAGTGGTGAAAGTTCTGGCGAAAGTATGACCTGTATGTAGACGTACAAGCATTTTTGTTCCTTAGTTACTTTTTTTTTGCTACAACTAACTATCAGTCATTTGTCTGCCAATGTATACAAACTCTTATCAAAAACTGATGCGCCGTATTCTAGCCACTGCTTTTTTCTTTCATTCAAAATTACCTCAGGGTGCATTTCTCAGTTTCCCCCATTCACCACGCAAGATCGTGTGTTGATCCTGGCAAATTCATAAAGCTTTTGTTTAGTGTTTATCGTGTTGCTTCCTGGAAATCACTCCCTCATATCAGCTGGCTCCGTTCGATAATGTGCTAATGTGCTCCCCTGGAAATTCTATTTCGATGTACACAGGAACTGTCCCTCAGTGGCCCCATATGAACGTGTACCAAATTTCATTACTCCGCAGTGCCCAGATTTCATGATGCTGTTATGCAAGCGGTCGGAGCAGCTTTAAAAAGCCATCTGCATTTCTGTTTGCATCAATAGCTGAGCAAGAGTCTTTAGTCTGTATGTGATGTTGAGTCCAGTTTTCCCAAAACATTATTCCAGTCTTTCTTTTCCTGCTGCTAAGATGCTGAGGAAGTACAAATTTGACACTTGAATTTCATAATCCTTAATCGGTCTCCTTGTGTGGGACGAATAAGCTGTTTTTACATTTAAAACACATCCAGACAGAAGGATAGAACATAATCGCATGAAATCTCTTTTCCTATGTGTTGTCCAGTTATTACACTGTCCTGCACCTTGTAGATTGTTAACAGTGTGTTAAAAAGTGCCTCATTATCTGTTTGTCAGGAAAATCTCAGGGGGAGCCATGACAGCGGAGCTGTCCGGTGAGAGTTCATCTGAGAGTGAGGACGAAGAGCAACAGTTAGAACGTCGTCTGCAGATTAAGACAGAAATGTCCCCTGAATACTGGCAGATCCACAAACTAGTCAAGTTCCTAAAGGTATGGCATTGTCGACCTGAGTACTTTTTTTTCTATTTCTAATGGAATTATAGCCAAAAAATGAGATGTGTATAGACTGTAGGTGAAGGGAGGCAACAACTGTTGGGAAGGTCCACGCTCCTCTCCTGTCATCTGTACAAGAATTTCAATGCAAACCTAAATCAGTCTTTACATTTCAAAAACCTCGTCTGAACTGCGGAGCATGGAAAATAAGATTTAGTCATGGATGTGTGGAAGAACTTAGAATTGATGGTATGACAAAAAGTAATGTTCCAGTCACATAATCCCACCTGTCTGTTTTGCCTCAGTCATACCAAGGTGCCACTCATAAAAAAAAAAGAAGACATTATGTTTGACGAAATTAAGTACACTGTACCTTGCTCCAATTTAAAGCGGTGCTTTGCAGGAAAATGCTTATTGAAGTGGTTGGCTCGGCTCTGAGATTCCTGGTTTCTGACACAAGCCTGTTTGGTTGCACACGAGCCAAGGCACAGGGGAAAGTGCTGTCTGACGGCCGCAGCTGTACGCGCTGTTTGCCCACACCGCAAAAGCATAGAAATGAAGCAAGCCTGTGATAGGTCTGACAGGGCATATGGTGAATATTAATGTGTCAAAACATGGGAGGGAAAGAAAGGAGGACAGAAACGCCACTAAGCCAGACTGGCTAGGGATACCTATGACCCGCCTCACTCAGTGGTCCCTTATTATCTTTTTATCTGGACAATATCATTGAGACAGATTATATTAGAACAAACTGCTTTTACTTTATTTTGACAGGAATCTGTTTTGTTGCAAGTTGCACACCCATCCCTTTCTGTACCGCAGTGAAATACCTTAGTACCTCACTTTCAAAACATTTAATGTGCAGCTATAGTGCACATAACGTCTTTTCATAAAGTATAGGATTTCTTTACGTTACTAACAGATTCTCGTTCTGACTTATGTGGCTTGCTGCTAAATAGAATTGTTCACAGTGCAACGGAGTAAATCTTTTATAGAAAACGCTGCTGTAAAGCTCAATTTGAGGAAGATATTTTTAGCTAAGCTAAACAGAATATAATGGAAGGAAATTCCCACTCTTAAACCAGGCTGCTGCTCCTTTCCAGAAAAGAAAAAAGGATGATGTAAACGATATGAAAGAGGCAAATTTAGTTGGAAAAAGAAAACATCACTGGTTTGTATGTTTTATAGTTTTTTAGCGGGACTGTGAGCTTAAGAGTTGTGTGTGTTCCTGCTTCAGCACGATGCAGCACTGCAGTAACCAACATGTCCCGGCTTTCTATCTCTTTGGAAACCACACAGTTCTGTTATTTATGGGGTTTGTCCAGTAGTCATTTTATAATATCATTACCATCAGACGCTTAAACTTACCTGGAGCCAAGTTAAATATCTGTTTTATTTTAGGAGGAGATCTTTTTCCCCCCTTCTCCCTCGCACTATAGACAGCCGTTTGTACTCTAGGAAGTTTGACACTTTCAGAAAGCGACACACGGATGTTCTGTTTTGTGTTTTAATGATATTTATGCAGGACTGTTTGCCCAGGGTTCCAACATGTTTGTTTTAATGCCTGTGTGACTGGAGATCTGCGCCTATGAAATGGTTACATGGTCTTTTGCAAAATCCAGCATGCAGATTTGAGTCTATGGGTTTATGTTTGCATGAGTGTGTGGGTGTACTGTATGTGTTTTAGGAGAGAAACTGAAATGATGATGAATTTAAACATAACTCACCCTTCTTATTCTAGCATTTAATGCATCAGTGCCACAGTATAAGCAAGCATTTTATCATACTCACATTTAAGCATTTATTTTTTATAGTCTGAGGTACAAGTACAGCATATAGGCCTGAGAAAATCAGATTAATAACTTTGCAAAGAGAAGGGTTGTTTTTCTCGTCCATACTGAAACATTTCACATGTTCAGTAACAGAGCCAAAAAACGTAATTTGATGGTTTTATCTCAGTTTAAATAAAAACAAAACTCACCAGCTGCTATCAGTTAGGTTGGCTGCTGGCTTTCCAAACAACAACAATTTCCAGATTCTCAAAAAATACATAAATATTGTGTCTGATATACAATATGTTACCAGTTAACAGGTAAACATTTAAATATTGGGTTTTGTTTACATTTTCATTACTGACCTTTTTTTTAATTCATTAATTTGTTCTTTTTGAGCAGATGTTTTTTTGCTAATCTCTTCCTTTTTTAAATAGTCACAGCAAAAGAAAGAATTATGAAACAGCTTACAAGTGTGTGCAGCCTTTCTCCATGCAATTTAAAATGTTGGATCTGTTTCCGTCAATTGACCTATAGTGTATAAATATCATATATAAAAAGATGATCTGGGTCATGACACGTTTTTGTGTTTCGCCCTCACTAAGGTTGCTCCCCTCTGCTGGGCCATCACAGTACTACTGCCCCTCTCTTCTCACATGAGAACTTTTCTACTGGTTGCTGCTCGAAATCCTGTCTCTAGTGAACAGCGGCCAATATCAGCTCATTTTCTCAAAATATTTGAATTTCTAGATATTTATGCTCTAAGTCGTCAAGATGATTTTACTTTTAAGTAATTGTAGCACTCAGTTCAAACATTTGATTTAAACTGCTTATAATCCATTTACAACCTGCCTAATCTGGATGATTTACTCACAAGCGTAATTAATCATTTAACTCCTAAATTAAGCAGTTTTTTCAACTAAACAGAGCAGCAGCATGCACTGTGCTCATTTTATGAGGGCAAGGCATATAAAGTGATCAAGTTATAGGAGATCTAATGTCAACTATGAAGTAAAAAAAACAAGCAGTAATCAATCATTCTGTCTCTCCAGTACCTTTCCTTAGTAGAGCTGGAGGTTAGGTTTGTTCTTGTCATTAGTGGCCTTCCCTCTGCTGTCTGCTATAGACTGCAGAAACCTCATGCATCCTCTATGGCTCGACCTCTGCCAAGACCTAGTTCTATGAAGCACTGGCAGTGGCCCGAGTCTACACTCTTGGTGTCTGAACACTCTTGCTCTATATACACGTCCACCCCCGTCGGCAGGACATCCAAGCCATGTACAAAATACACACAGCAACACTTTATTAAGAAAGAGGCCTTAGGTCAACAGGGTATCATTTTACAGCCCTATTAACCTTATCCCTGCTCCCATCTGCTTAGTGTGGTGATTTATAGGCGTGGAATAGCTCAGGCAGGGCAATCTGTGTCTGGAGAATCCAGTCTGCTGCTGCAGACGAACCAGACTAGAATAAGACCTCCATTCAGTCAGCTCAGTCCGAGACACCTGCAGCAAAGGAAGAGACAAAATGCGTGAAGCATCTTTAAGTGGCTGATGTCAAGTTCACCTCATGAATCGAACTCAATCCTTGGGGATGGGGATACAGTATTTATAGAACTGTATTTAATTCTTACAACTAATTAATGAGTATTTTACAATTCAATTGCATAGTGCAACACCAGAGTGATACCTGACAAAGTAAATTCTCCATTGGGTGTGTTATACAGAGAAGACTGTACTAGCATATGTACTTCTTTTTATTGATTTTATTTTTTTTATCAATGTACCTCCTTTACCTCAATCAGATAATTCATTTATTCACTATTATTTTGGTAACCTTTTCCTGTCTTGCCGCAAACAAATGAACATTTTCACTTTCGAGTTTATCTTTGTGGTGCTGCACAGAAAGTGCACGTACATACTGATACATATATATTCTACTTTTGAAATACTAAGTGATCTGTCAGCACTGATACTGTTCTTTTTTCTCTGAAAGGCAAAGTCTAATGGTTTCTGAGCTTGACACTGTTGTCACAGCTCAATCCTCCATTAACAAATTATTTCTTACCATCAGCGGTTACCACCACAAAGCTAAACACTTACCAGGCTGTTGAATAAACAAAACAACCCAAGCAGGAGTGGTATCATGAGGGATCTGTCCTCCTCCCTTTTCCAAGTGTCTGTTTAGTGTTTAATTTCCACCTCCTCTTTGCCTCCAATTTTCATTCAATTATGTTTGGCATTATTATTTCAGATTGGTGAACAGACAGCCACCATGCTCTGCCTGTGTGCCATGTTGGAATTGAATTTGATGCAGGAGAGTTGCCAACTGGACATCTGGGACGTAGGTGGCCTTGAAGTCCTCCTTAACTTGCTGGATTCAGCTGCAGTCAGATGCAAAGTGAGTAGCTGTGCCAAAGCTGGACCTGGATGGCCCGCAGGCATGAACAGAACCCTGTGTGTGTGCCAGCCTGTGTTTTAGTGACAGACACACTAGTACTGGGCAGAGAATGTTCCTTTAAACACAGGGTAACAATTTCTTTCCAGTATGCCTAATGACGTGTGCTTGTTTTTTAAACAGATTTTATTCTTATTATTTTTTACTATTGGATCGAGGCCTCCAGTTGGCATAGACGCAACAGTTTCCATCAAACTAAAGCATTGTACTTACTCTTAATGTTTGCTATGTGTGTGTTTGTGATTAGATTGGATCTCTGAAAGTCCTACGAAAGATTAGTCACAACATCGTAATCTGTCAGATCATTCTTGACATGGATGGTCTGCAGAGCATCGTGAAAGCTCTGGACTCGCCAGACAAAGATCTGAAGGCCTTAGCTGCTGAGACAATCGCCAACGTGGCCAGGTTCCGCAAGGCAAGGAGAACCGTCAGGCAATGTGGAGGAATCAAGAAACTGGTGAGTGTGAGGACTTGTGTAACATGATCTTTGTTCTGCCGGTGGCGCAGTACAGCAGAGAAAACTGCAAACCAGAACCTGATCTTTCTTTATTGGCATTATTGGAAAAAATGTTATGTCCCACATTGGCAGTTTTTCCATTAACACACTTGTCAGTTTATGTCTGTGTCAGCTAGTTTGTGATTTAGCAGAAAAACTTTGTTCTAAACCACAGACATCTTGGAAACTGTGGACGGACAGGATGGTGATCCACATATTATGATTACTATTTGCTTTTAATTTCGAGTGTAAAACACATATCCAAACTATGCTGAACTGTTTGGATGCACAGCAAATCAATCATCCGCTCATTCCTTTTTCACTCTGTACAGCAGATGCCAGGTAGTGCGCCATCCGTTAAAAAAAAAGACCAGAATGGGTGTTGTGGTAAAACAGATAGAATGTCCCTCACATCCTCTGACCTGCATTCATGTTTGTTGACAAAGGGACCTGTGATTAAAGCCTGCATGCCTTGTATATTTTTTCTCAGCCCCAGATCGGATGTTCTCATGTGCGAGTCACTCATGTAGGCAGATTAATTTCATGCTTTGCTATGAGACCACCTTTGAACTGTGCTGTGGGTAATAGCTTTGCCTACTCTTTCTCACTGGTCAGGAACGATGGATTAGCACGCTGAATGACGGCCTTAAACCGTCACACTGGGCTTTTCAGTTTTCCACTGCTAAAATCTCTGGCTTTTTCGTCCTTGCAGACTCAGTAGTAATATAATTTTAATTACACCCTTAATCATAGCCAACAACTTGCTAGTCCCATCTGACACCATCCATTATCCCCCCAATCCTGCAAGCAAACTTTTCAGAGTCTTCAAATTTATGTCGAGTTCATCTAGTTTGTGTAAATGTGTGTATGGAGGTTTTTCTGCTTAAACATGTGGTCGGCCTGCTTGTCTGGACACGTTTTTATGTTTGTGTTTATCCACATGTGTACCTTGTCTCTGTGCTCAGGTGAAGCTGCTGGACTGCGTGCCTAATTTAGCCAACCGGAGTAAAAAACAGGAGAAGGATATGGAGGTGGCCCACTGCAGCGTTTTAGCACTCTGGAGCCTCAGCAAGAGCATCAAGAATAAGCGGGCCATCGATGAGGCCGGCGGCATCCCTCTGCTGGGACAAATGCTCAAGTTGCCACACGAGCACATGCTTATCCCTGTGGTGGGCACCCTGCAGGAGTGTGCCTCAGTGGTGAGTGGGGGCATTGGATTGTACATTCTGTGGCTCAAGATTACCTATTTTAATTCTATACATTGTCCATTAAACTATGATTGAATAATGGGAAATATTTGTAGAGGATCTGTAGAATAACACAAGATAAAGACATTTTATTGAGCTAAATAAACAGATGCTGGTTGATGTTTATTTAGATAACTCATGGACGTTAATTGTGTTTCCATACAGGAATGCTACAGGATTGCCATTCAGACTGAAGGCATGATCAAGGATTTAATCAAAAACCTAAGCAGGGACAACAATGAGCTACAAATGCATTGTGCAAGTGCAATCTTCAAGGTACCTGTTTTCTCCACTTCTACACTGTGAAGTAATATAATGAACTGGACAAAAGGACAAAAATTTCTTTTTCCTCCTAATCAGACTGATACTGTATAGGAACTGTTTCAGCTCTTGACTCTTCATTCTTTTGCGTTGCAGTGTGCGGAGCACAAGCAGACCCGTGACATGATGCGTACGTACGATGGTCTGGAGCCGCTGGTCTCACTGCTGACCAAGTCCAACGACAAGTCGCTCTTGGCCGCAGCCACTGGGGCCATCTGGAAGTGTTCCATCAGCAGGAAGAACGTGGCTAAGTATGACTTGACTCACTCTCTCACCTTATTACCTCTCAATAAATCACATGCACTCTCTCTCCGTCAAAAACATGCACAGTAAGACGCACCCAGACTTAGCATGCCACAGATTCAGAAACCTTTTGTAGCCATACCTTTTTAAATGTATGCATCTGGGTTTGGAATTAGTAGTGACAGATTAGTGTGACTTAGAAAAATGAGTACAGCGATCTAATGAGGCTCGATGTAGATGGGGGTTAATTGTGATTTGGCATTTCACCCACGTGTTCCCATAACTTTTTACTAAGCTGATGTGGTAACAGCAGCCTGTTAGTGTGTGAAAGCAGTAATAGCAGCAGTGAATACAGAGCTGATGGGGTTCAGCCAACTTGCGTGTATTATTACCTCTAACCGAGGGGGGGCATGTTTGTTTGTTTGTCAGTTATTAAGCAGAATGACCATGAAATTTGGTGGATGGATGAAGTTAGGAAAGACCCCATGACATTTTGGTTCAGATACAGGATTTTTATTTTCTCCATCAAATTGTGAGATAGGGTATTTTTCAACATATTCAACATATTTAGGGTACTGATATTTATGATTGTGAGACATTTGAATATAGTTTAAGTGGTGAAACTGTTGAGCTTTACCGGAGGCATGTGCTCTCTGAGTGCCATTCTAGTCTTTGTCATGCCATCATCACATATGTTACTTTTATGATGGCTCTCAATCATTCATAACCTTTATGCTGCTGTCATGTCCCACTTTCCTTCACCACTGTGTCTGTGCGAAGTGATGATTGGACTGAAATGGTTTTGTAAAGCTTCTTATTAGCTCTGATCTTTTATGAGTGTCTTTTAGAATTGAATCTTTTCCACCTCTAACGAAGGCAGATTTTATAGAATGATATTTGAGTCCAGGCCTTTCAGTACTGAACCAATCACGCATGCTGACAGTCGGCCTTGAGATGACAGAGCCTTTGAATCATTTGTCATGTAGAAGCAGAAGTTTATTTAAGTGTCATTTAGCCTGGTTATTCAGCAGTAACATTTCTGGAGAGTTTCTGACTTGCACTTAAAATGTTTAAATGTTAGACACATGTTTTTTTTAAGTCCGTAATTTTCCCTTTAAAATTAATAATGCCCTGAGACCGTGCCCTGGCAGCCCCATACATTTCCTGCATACATCCTCCAGTGCTCTCTTGAAAGAATGATTTGCTGTATTTATTTTCTTATTCACTGTGAGGCTGGAGACATAATGTATAAAGCACATGCAGTTATTTTATACCTTGGTAACACTCAAACCATTTCTCTCCACTGGATCCAAGACAGTGATAAGACATTGTGGTTTTATAATTTTCATGATGAAGAACTGAAGAACCTTTGCTGAGGTGAGAGTGTGTGTAAATGCTTCTCTTCTGACTCAGAAACGCTGTACACTTTAAACTGCAGTGGAATTCTAAAAATAACAAGAAGCAGCACTCACACATATCTTTCCACACTTCATATATCACAAACGACAGAATGATATCCTGCTTTTAAAGTCTAACTTAAGTCCTCCCAACTGGAGCTGAGTGTCTGCTGCCACATCCAGTTAAGTGAGGATTCCTTTGCAGAAGCAGAAACATGACGATAACTTTCTTTAAAAGCAAGATGGACACATCGCTGTCTATTCAACCATGAGAGAAAATAATTTGGGGGAATTAATTCACATGATTATTTAAAGATAAAAGCATCCTCTCCTAAGACAGACAGTTCTATTTTTCTATTTTCATGGTTCAAAACAGAGCTAAAGATGTCTTTGTAATAAATTTCTTAACGAAAAAAATCTTTGGCACAGATTGGGAGCCCTTCTGACTCCAGCTTGGCATGACGATGAAACAAGTTAACAGTGCTGGCCATGAGTAATGTGGCAGTTTAATACACTTGCTGCCAGTGCAGGCCATGTGCCATACGTAATGACTTGTCACACTGCAGCGATGTAAAACAGTTCTACTACTACTGAATATAACAATAATAGAAATAATTATAATCACATGTGAACCACATTTAGTGACATTAACCAACACAAGATATCACAGCCTTCACTCTAAATTTAGCAGAGTTCACATAGTTACCTTAGCAAGCTAACCACAGGCAGTGAAGCGAGTAGAGTTTTACTTTTTGTTTTTCTGTGTGTGTGTTATGTTTTACTTTGTATTTTTGGATGATGTGGCCAGTTGGGTGTGAGTGAAGGTGAAATTCGGCCACCTCCTCAGCAGGAAACTAGCGTGATGCACAGAGAAATGATTTAATGCACACTTGAATGCGTAAGTGGATCTGTTTTTTCAGAGTCCTTCGGGCTTATTTGAATCACTTAAATTGTCTGGGTCGGGGCAAAAGCTTGGAATGGAGTGACCGAGCCATTACTGTCAAAAAGGAAACGCTGCTAATGGTGACAGGGTTTTCGGGGCATGCGCTCATTTCAGAATCAATCATAAGCTGAGTGGTGTACTGAAATGAAAATCATTTTGGAATGTAGCTTACTCGCAGAAATAATAGGAGGCAGAGAGTCAGATTTTTCCCCCTCTTTTCTTTCAATAAGTATACGCTCAAATGAAACCAGAGCAACAACATGATTTTTACTTTTATGTGACTGATGATTTGCATGGTGCACGGACAGTATAGTGGTTAGGGGGCAACCTCCAGTAAAGACAAGTAGCAGCCATGTGTTATCCATTTTCCTGATTAATGATGCATCAAAATGAAATATGATTGATGGTCTAAAATATAATTACATTGATAACTTGAGTGTCTTTGTTAAAAGACCACATAAGCTTGTGTTTATCGTATTGATTCCATTCTAGTGTTACAGAGAGGGCTATACCTGAACCAAGGTTTTTTGCACTAGGAAAATGCCTTTGTAAAAGTCCTGCTGGGAAAGACTGAAACATAATTTTGTGCAGATTTATGGATGCATCAATATGTGGCCATGAGAGCCTGTATATTATAGAGGTGTTATGGACGCAGAAAAATGCTGTAAAAAGTGTTAACAAAAGAGTGACGGAATAACTTTGCAATGGAAAGTCACAACTGCCAAGTCTTAGACTGCATTTGCCAGTGTAGTAATGTTTGGGGTCAAGATTGAGGGGTTCGCTTCCAATTACTGACTACCCCTCCATCTTACCTCTGTTCCAGCCCTGTGATGAGCAGACCATAATTACCCTTTCAAATGATACTTCTCCTTACCTCACAGAACTTCTCTGCTCACCCAAGTTATTCGCTGATCCGTTGTTTTCTTTCACATAGATCTGTTTGATTCATTTCAGGTTAATTTAGCTTCTTATCTTCCTTTGTGATTGATAAGCGACTCAGGCTCAATGAAATGTCTCACTTTCACTTGGGCCCAGCATTAAAAAACCCTTGTTCGTATTTAAGCTTTCTGCACTTAGTTGAATGTATGACCTGTGGAGATGAATGAGAAAAGGAAAAGGCAGACAATCAATCATACAAATCTGCTGCACAGAAGCCCCACTGTGGTTCCTGTGTCTTCTGACAGGCCTTAATAGAGCTCGCAGTTGCGAGGAGCCCAGTGATGCAGTAGAAGCCGCTCCGGGCTGCTTTGTGTAATGTTACTCTTGCCATCACGTAATTACTTCAGTTGGGACTGGCCTAACAAAAACAGACATGACTTACCGTTCATTTATCAAAAGTTATGTCTGTGATTACAAGATAATTCTACTGTAGTCAGCTGCAGATGACACTTTGGTGATGGCATAGGAAAACCATTGTTTTTCTTATGGTGAACTTCACTGAAGTTAACATTGGCAGCTCCTCTGTTCATTAGCAGTGTTTTCACTTGCAAGAATAGGCTGTCTGTCGGTGGACCCTGACCAAAACCAAATGACCTTGGCCATCTACAATAGCTTACGGTCCATGATGCCAGCAACCGTAACTGTGAATAAAAACAGTCATAGAACTTAACTGTACATCAGAGGTTTGTTGAGGTTTTTAGCAACCACATTATATCCCTTTTAAATGTTTACTATAGTTTACCACTCTATAGCACTGGCAAACAAGGCAAAATCACAGCAAAAGAGGGAGGGAGAGTTTCCAAGCCGCAGCAAAACTTGGGTTATGCAAAATACATACAAGGGACAACTGTGAGCAGTCGTGGGAAAACTGTCTGTGCCACTGGGTTGCAGTAAGAGATCTGTGCCCATGTGACTGAAAGCACTGCAGCTACTGTTTGTCACTTCAACTATTGGTAGCCACAATAGTTGTGTGGCTTCCATGATATCAATATTGAATCTGTCTGCTGGTCACACCATGAATAACAGTCCAGGGTGAAATATGCCAACAATTATAGACACATTTTCATGAAATTCATGGTCCACAAGGGGTAAATCATAATGAGTTGGATGATCCCCTGGCTTTTAGTTTAGCACCAATAGCAGGTCAAAGATTTTCTAAATTTGGTCCCTGCATTCATGGTTCCCAGGTGACATTTGTGAATACAATTTAATTTGGTTCAGTAATTTGTGTTCTCTGCAGTTTAAATTATAATAGCCCTTAATCACCCATCTAGCGCCATCATTAGGTTATGTTATTATGCAGTACTTGTTCATGACCTAATATCTGTAAAACAGAAAGACATTCTAATCATCCAGCTGTACTTTTTGCTCATTGCTAATGTTGTCACTTAGCATTTCGATCCAAGCACCAATGTTATGGGCTCAAATAATAGTAAAAAACAAGTTGAGCTTGTATTTAGCTTCAATTTAGAGCTACTTAGAGGCAAGCATGGCTAAAGACGGTACGCTTTGACTGCCAGCTCATTCAAGTACACACATTGTGCTTGAATAGCTGTGCCACATTCATCTAAACCCGCTGCTGCAGACATTACCAGACATTGTTTATTGCTAAAGAGCAAACTTTGCATTTCTAGCGTCATCTCTTCCAACACGTCAGCATTATCATTGTGTTAGATTGCTGATGTTTCTACTGAAAGTACAGCTGTGCAAAAGTCCTCCATTTCAGAGTCACTGGTACGACTCTATGTTTTTCAATATGTATTGAATTAATATTATCTCTCCCTCTTTTTCCCTGGAAGGTTTCAGGAATACAAATGCCTGGAGTCCCTCGTTAACCTGCTGACTGATCAGCCAATAGAGGTGCTGGTAAACGTTGCTGGAGCGCTGGAAAAATTTGCCCAGATACCTTCTAACAAGGGGACCATCCGCAAGTGCAGAGGCATTGAGCCACTAATTAATCTACTCACTGAGACAAATGAGGCAAGTTTAATCCTCTTTTGCTGCATATAAGGTCCTATATTGATTGATGCATGTCCATGTTATTTGTGTTATTTACCCATGTACATGTTATTTGTGTCATGTGTTCATGTACATGCTATCTGTGTTATTTACACATGTACATGCATTTTTTTCATGTACCCATGTACATGCTATTTATGTTATTCACAAATATACACGTGTATGTATATGTACCCATGTACATGGGACATGTACATATGTACATGCAGTTTGTCATTTACACATGCATATTCTATTTGTGTCATTTAACCATGCACATTCTATTTCTGTCATGTACCCAGGCGCTGCTCGTGAATGTAACAAAGACAGTTGGTGCTTGTGCCAGAGACCGGGATAACATGGCGTAAGTCTCTGTCTCTTCCATTGTACATGGTCTTTATTGGCAATGCAGTACAGTTTACACAAGGCAAACAGCCCTGTGTGAGGTGTCTCTTAAAATGTGATTAGTGGCTTACTCACTGGCATTACTGCATTAGCTCCAAACACATATTTTTGGACATGTATTGATGTCATATGTTTTGACAAGGGAATGACACACACATACACAACTCCTGTATCATTAACCTGTCACGGGCTGATGCTTGTTCTTTTAATTTGTTATTATGCAGGTAGGTTTCTCCTTCATCCCCAGCCCAGTGACAGATTTTAAAAGCTTTGTTTATTGTACCTGCTGTGTTAAATACGGTTGTGGTTTAATTCCCAGTGTTTTACTATAGCTTTGCGGTCACTGTCAAGACTTGAGCTGGTCAAAGGAACATACCTAAAGCCCTGCCCTGTCCAAGACTACATTGCTGGGAAAACACAGCGAACCACAGTCCAGCAAAGTCTTTGTTCTGTGCTCATTTAACCTCACCCTCAATACTGCACAGCATTGTCTTTCATCTGCGCCTATTGGTTTTACAAGGCTGTTATGAAATACAAGACCCTTCTTAATTAGCACTGGACACAAATACAACCTCATGTCTGAACTCACATTGTTCGTTAGCTGTTAATGCTATAATACGAGCCTGTTACATTTGTTGGGAGGCGAAAACCAAGGGTTCATTAAAAAGTGAAGCATGTCAAATGAAAGCCACTAACTGTGGTAAACTTCACACAAGAGGAGAAGTGTTTTACATAGGTTCATCATGTTCTCCATATTTTCTCACGGCATATATATTTAGGCCAGACCTTGTAAACTTTCAGGCTTAACACGTGGCTGTAAACAGAGAGGTCTTATTTCGATGGAAGCTTTTTGTATGTTTTGTGGTGATGGCTTATTTGGGGGAATGTATGTGTACAGTCATGAGCTGAGCAATTAACTTAGCTCACATTTGATTACTCCATGCTCCAACCCAACATGGCTGGAGCAGTTTTTCTGCAGATCCCCAGTGATTAGACATTGTATAGCAAGCTAACAAATATTATGATGACGTATGCATGATACCACACAGTCATCTAGTGTTCACTTTATTTTCACCATCAAAAACTTCTGGTGATCAGTGCAATCATTCTCTCATCATAATTGTGACTCAGACCATCCGTGACTACTGAAAGCCCAAAAAAGCATCGATCACTTTCCATGAAATTCTCAACCAGTAAGCAATGTGTGCTTAATGACGTAGCGCTTCCTCCAGTAAATCCTGTGTAGCTACAAGAGTGAACACACGTTGTTTAATGCCTCCAGGGTTTGTGGTCCCCTCCTCTAATCCATCACTGTCAGTTGCCGCTTCATTGCTAATCTGTTTCATACCTGCTTCATGCTAAGACAGAGCTGTTTTGGCGGATGATATGACGCTTCACTTTTGTTTTTGGTCTGGATTTAAGAGGCCCCGCCGACTGGATCTGATGTTATGATCCCTCTAGACTGATTTATGTGCAAACGGAAGACAGATGGTGTAGGGGACGTCCCTGATGAGTGTTCGCTCGTTGCCAGTCACGGAGATACTGTGATTAGGGAGTGTTTAAGTAATTATGACAGCATTCAATGTCGGCCTTGTTGGTGGAAGCACACATGGGGAACACGTTACATGTTATTTATAACAGACAACGGGTGCACTGTGGTGTAATTCTTTGGGTTCCCAGACCCCAGACTACAGTCATGTATATGACAAGAAATATAGCTCATGCTTGAGTAAACTTCGCTCAAATCCTATGAAATACAGAGCGACCTGTCTCAGGCTCTGTTTGATTTGGAAAGAGGTCCTCTTTTTGGCTCGGCTTGAAAAACAAGCCACCAACATAAAGTGTAAGGTTGTCTCACAATCTATTTATAGATGCATGTATGAAGCACTATACACAAGTTTGAGCGAGTTAACCTCTGACCATAGCATAGCCAAGCTTTCCATGGAGAGTGATCCAAGTAAGCAGACAGTGGGTGGCTTCTGGGCCTGGAGAGGAAATGAGCAGGACCAAAGGCAAGTTTGTGATGAGAGCCAATGCTGAAATCGATCAACGCTTTGATCCTGCTTGGCTACAGTGTGAAGGCTGATACAGCAGGAGCTTTTAGTAACAATAATTGTGCACACAAATTTTTCGGGATGAATCACTCTTAAGACCTAAATAATATAAATTCAAGACTTTTTTTGTTTTGCTTATTCTCTGTTTGTTAATACTTTTCTCTCTCTCACTGTTTCTCTGTCCCTGCAGGGTCATCGACAAGCTTGATGGCTTCCGCTTTATGTGGTCCTTACTGAAAAACCCCAGTCCAGAAGTTCAGTCTAGCGCTGCTTGGGCCCTTTGTCCATGCATTGAGAATGCCAAGGTACAGTACAGTTAGACAATATCTTCTCCTTCCTCCTCAACATGACATAGATTTGTCCTCTTCTTCTTTTATGTGTCTGCACACGTGAAGCACACAATGTGCACATATGTTGCCTGTAAATCAAAGACTTCTGCAGAGTTTGTGCTGTTTCAGAGTGAAGGGTTATCCCACACTCACTAAACAAGCTCATATGCTGCCGCTGCTGCTTGGAAGTTAGCAGGGGCAGAGCTGTATCAGCAGAGGCTTACATGAACCTTGGGCTAATATGAAGCAGAAAGGCCTCCTTGGCACACTGGAATTGGTGAATTGGGAAGAAGGCTGGGAGACTGAGTAATATCCTGTGACATGGCTTCTGATTTCCCAGCTGAAAATCTTCTCTCAATATGCTAATAGTTATGGAGGCATACGATTCACGCAAAGAGCCCAGGGTAGCTGCTGGTTTCTGTGAACCCACCTATCTAATGAAGCCAGTGCACAAATGGCTTCCAAAAGAATCGACAACATACCTTTGAATTCTACTTAAATAATATGATGCACAAGTTGCAGAATTGCTCTGTAGCCTGCTGCTTAAAGCTCGAGACAAACTTCACACTACTTTTATAACACATCCAAATCACCCACCGAACTGTTGGCAATTGAGTTACATTATGAGGTTTTGATTGATAGCCATTTGTATTTTTCTTCAGTTTGACATTATTATAGGTGCAATTTTAACTCAGTAGAGTGCTCTTTAAAAAAATGTTTAGCTTGTTAACCAACTCTAATTTCAGTTACACATCAGCAGCTCTTTGATTTCCTGGTATGGCTTCCAACTATAAATGTAATGTTGTTGTATTAGATTATCACTGTGATTAAGGTAAACAGCTTGTCAGTGGGACAATCTGGTTAAGTTTAAATATATATTGGACCCGGGCAGGTGTCTTGGGGGTGAAGCCCTTTTGCTGGCAGGAATTTCACTGGCCCAAAAGTGATGCATGGCAACCATATGGAGGGAGCAGGAGGACTGTGGACCCACTATCGAGCTCTAACAAAGTTTGACAATGTTTGTCTGGACGTCAGCACACCAATTTTTGGGGGAAATTCATGAACATGCTCTTTGGGTGATTTTTTTCTGAGACTGGGGCAACGACAAGAGCTAAATAGTGCTCTTTGCCCATTGAGTTGAGGAACCTGATACAGCTGCTTCGGTGCAGTCATTATTTAGATAAAAACCCCATGTGCTTTGAGTTAGCAGTTCTATAGTGGATTTATGAAAGAGCTGTGGTATACTGTATATGCATCTGGTGGATGCTCCATACAGTACGGCTGCTACTCCACAGACAGACACTGTGCCCTATGCCCACAGGTCCACAACTTAAACTCACTCAGTACCATACTCGTAGACTTAGTAGTGAATCATTCAATTATTTTTGTTCTCCAATCAAGGAAGTACAGGCACAAGTAATGGGGTGTATCATTAATTCGCCTGTATGCTGAGGCACAGTGAGATGCTTGATTTATTTTTCCTATACATAGTAGCCATGTATGTCACAGAAGCCTGATTGCTCCAGAGAAAGGGTCAGGGCATGCTTCTACCATTCTGAGCTTGGCTTGCTCCCCTTGGCCTGAAATCACGCACAGCAGATAGTGTGTTTTCTATTTCATTTCATCCTGGGTAAGAGGATGAGGGAGAGAGAGAGATAAGTGAGAAAGGCCTTTCCGTGTGCAGCCTCATAATGCTGTAGTTTTCAGATGTGGGGGCCCTTCCAGGCCATGAAAGAGATTCTGGCTAGTCTATCGCAGCTGGTGGCTTGAGAGAGCTTCCTCTGTCGCAGGGACTCCCGGCCAGGCATCATCAGTATTCCTGAGGAAGGGCTTCCTGTGTGTCGGGGGGTCAGCTCCTGGCCCTGGCACAACCCTCCTTGCCTTGCACTGCACATGTTACTCATCCTCTGGCACGGCTTCACAGGGTCCTTACACCGCACCCTGACTTGATCTTAGCTGTGAGCTCTGTATTAGAGAGGAGAACACAGCAGTACATCACCCATCTCCCCCGAAAATAATTGAATATGCCAAATATAAATCAGCTGACTGCTGAATTTGATGAATTACTATACAGTGGACATAATGAATTCCTCTAATACTGTACTCTATGGTTCTGTGACATACATTGGCTTCGGACATGTAGATTGATGTTGAAATGGACTCAAATTAAGCATGCTTTGTGATTTGCATCCAAGGATCCATAATTGTAAGCTTTTGGGGAAAATGTTGTGCTATTTTCAATGCACTGAACATTACAGACTCTGCCACCTTGATGTATTCTTCTGTGGCCAGCAATACGGTGAGTTGTGATTTTAAACAGCGGCCTGATGTGCCAAGCCATACTAAAGCCAGTGTCTCTACCCGCTCTTCCGCTGTGGTTCCCTCAGCACTCCCTACCAGCCTCTTGGTTTGGTAGGCATTGCCCCATAAGTGGCTCAGAGGCCTGTGGTACCAGCTGGTGCCGTGAATTCAAACCATGAAGTATTGAGTCTACACTGTGTTAGCCCAAGGCGAAAGGTTTAAATGTTACTTCTGAGTTCTAAATTCTATGTTTCGTCTTCATTTTGACATGCTAGGGTGAGAGGAGAGGTTTACAACAATGTCAGATTTATTGCTTGCTCATGCAAAACACAGATGTACCGTAGAAGAGGGTGTTTTTATTTTGAAAGCACAGACAAAGATAGTCCTACCAGTTTGGTTTGCACTGATGGGACCATGATTGTGATGCCTGAGCTGACGAAAATACTTTGACTTATGTAGTTTTCTTTGTTTTGTCTGCCTTGCTTAAATGTCCCTGCGTGCCTCCCCTCTTTCCCCATCCATTACCTCCCTCCTTGTTCATTTTAGAGAACCAACTAATAACAGACTCTTTCACTATAGGATGCAGGGGAAATGGTGCGCTCTCTTGTCGGTGGATTGGAAATGATTGTTAATTTGCTGAAGTCAACAAACAACGAGGTCCTGGCAAGCATTTGCGCCGCCATCTCTAGAATAGCCAAAGACAAGGAGAATCTGGCAGTCCTCACTGATCACGACGTTGTGCCACTGCTGGCCAAGTTGACTAACACAGTAAGTACAGCTCACCGCTGGAGACAAACAACAAGGTTTTACTATTCAAGAACACTGCAGTTATTGTAAATGTACAAATAACTGTCTTTACAGTGGATTTTAGTTGGTGTTTTTCTACTCAATGGAGCATAAATCCAACTAATGAGAAGAACATTGGTAGATGTTGCCAAGACTCTTGCAGAGCTTGTTGTTCTCTGCATTATAAAGACCGAGACTGGTCACAAAGGACCAATAGCATCCTGTTCTCTTCTCCACAGACTGATGACAGGCTCTGTCTGCACCTCGCCGAGGCCATCGGCCACTGCTGCATGTGGGAGGGCAACAGGGCATCCTTCGGCGAAGCTGGTGTCGTGGCCCCCTTGGTAGACTACCTCAAATCATCAAACAGCGCAGTCCACTACCACACAACCCACGCCTTGTATCAGCTTTCCAAGAACCCAGATAACTGTATCACCATGAATGAGAGGGGAGTGGTCAAGGTGAGTTGTAGAACCATTGTTGCTAGATTTCTGACTCCTCACTTCTTTTTCTATGTAGATGATTAACACTAGTAGTTATATATCTAGTTTATTTGTTGCTTTGAGACTAACTTTAGCATAAATACATTGAGAGAAATGTGCTTTGGCCCCCCACCACTGCTGTTTTAGTGATGTGTGAAAAGCTCTGAGTAATTAACTTTGAAAAGCTGTGACTGTATTCAGAGCCTTTGACCGATGGAGCAGAAACAAAGTGGGTTTTATTCGGTGGCGGAAACATGACTCCACTTTCAAGCTGTCATGGGAATTCAGAAAAGCAAACAGCTCAGTGTGTGCAAAGTGCCTTTTCTCCGGTAGACCCTAGATGCCATCACAGCACAAGTCAAAGGGCTGTAACTGGGGGTAACTGTTGCTAAGGGCTGTTCTTGGACATCAGAGTAGAATGCAACAACGATATGGCCCAGGCTAGGGAGCAGGGTAAGAGCCGGTCAACTTTTTTTTTCTTCTACATCCGCCAGCTTTCTTTATCGTGGCAGTTGTGCAGGGCTCTTCCAAAGAGAAACAAGCCTTGTTTTGCTGCACGTTTCGCCTGTCGCGCTGTTTCCACGCTCTGCTCAAGAGACTGTTTATGTTTGTCTCTGACAGTGATGAAGAGATTCTATGTTCAGATTGGGATGTAATTGATGTCTTGTCACAGATGCTCACGTACCCATATTTCAGAATTTTGGGAAAACATTGCTATCACTCCTTAATTGAATCACGTTTCACATAGAAAGACTTTCTCATGAGAAATCTTTTTGCGGCCACTGTGACTTTAAATGTTTTTCCCCTCTAAATAACAACTGCAGTATAAATTATGAAGTGGTTATGCTACTGCAGCCAGATATGTTTTTTCCCATGTTTGTTAAATGGCATACTTTAGCTTGATCTCTTGCTACAGTGAATGCGGTTCAACACTTGCTATAGCTGGACTGAACATTGGGTGTTCCAAAAGAGTTATGTCCAATTTGCAGAAGTCATTAAGATGAATGCTTTTTGTAGTTAGAGCCACAAAAACTGGACAACTCCTGTTTCTTAGTGTGTGTGTGCAAATGCAAAACATACCACCCTTTTTAATCTGTCTGTGTTTGCCCTTATTAATGTACCAGTTAAGAGTTGCAACACTACTCCATAATGTATTTTTAGACTTTTAAAGAGCTTAATCACCAAAGGCCACGTAACTGCACCAGCGTTGCATTTGTTGGTAATCTCAGACGTGGAAACACAACACAGGCAGCCTCATTGTTCAGTCTGGTCTGAGTCTCAGTCAGTCTGGACAGGGAGGCTGATATACTTACCTGCCTGACCCAGGAGGAAGCATTACAGTGTGGGAGCTGCCTTTTCTCCACCAATTTCTGTGCAGTACAGTGCTCAGCTACATGATATATAAGCAGCCGATGGGAAGAATGTGTTAGAACAATGTCCAATAGTTCTGAATGAGTTGGACATTTATCCAGTATTGATACCGGGCCCTGTGTCTTATTTATGGCCCTGTGCAAAGTTTTGGACCGCTCCTTGTATTATTGCAACCATATTTCAAAGAGTTTTTTAATGTGCCGTTGAGAAACTCTCAAAACATTCTCAGACACATGTAGTATATGATTACGAATGAGCGAGGGTCTCTCTTACTCTAAAGTTGCCTTAGCACACATAATGGTGTCTGACCCAGTCCCATACATCAGGAATTGAAAATCACCCATATTTGTTTTGTTATCTCTATTTTCAAAAACCTATAAAAAAATCTTTTTAAGTTCATGTTTTTGGATAAATCCTTTTGTGGAATGTATTGGATCATATCAGGCCTTGTTCAAGAAATGGGACTCAGTTGCTCGCTCTCACAGGAAACGCATACCGGGGATAAGAGAATTTTTAAGCTAGAGATTAATTGTCCCCGCCATTTGATTTGACGTTCACTCTTGGTATCTCGCAGTTTTATACGGATGTTCTTCATTTTGTGTCATGTACAAAATCAACATTCCTTCCCTTTGTGTTTTACATTGCTTCCAAAGGACTGGGGATTGTTTGCTGAAACCATAAATCCTTGTAGACAGCTTTCGGCCAGCTATTTGTATTAAAGAGGCTCTTTCATAAGAAAAGCTTTGTGAAGTAAATTGATGAAAATTGCATAATATGGATGGTAATTATTGGTAATTTTCAACTGAGGGTATTCCAGAGCGTGGCTTTTGCCAGGTTCTGGTATGTATTTTAGGCTTTAACTAATCTCAAAGAGAAAAAATGTTTGCTGCCTTTGTTGCCATAAGCACACGTCTGCTGCAGCACGGCCAGTGTTTGTTTTAATGTCTTTCTCTCTTACACGCTCAGACTGCAGGAGCGAAAGTGCAGCGACACCGTGGGGGGCAAGAATTACACAAACGTTAAGGGAGGGAATAAAAACCCAGCAGAACATCATATGTTTACATCTGAAGGTTGGTGCGAACATGACTTTGGGTTGTGGGTGTGGTGAGCAGATGATACAGGCGTCGTGTGTTGTTCCGTTGTGACTAATGTGTTATTGAGCTCCATGGACTGTAATGTTTTAGAGCCTTTAAATTAAGCCACTTTCCCTCACACCCTGAGCAGAAATACCAAGCCATATTCTTGGGGTTGAACAGACTCAGGGTTCGGACTGAACTGCCTTCCCTTCTTTTCCTCTTCCTCTTTGGAGACACAGAAAAAGCAGCAAGTCTCTTGCTCACTGGAGGCTGCAGGGAATGTTGTTTACCTTGACTTCCCTCGCCAACTTCCCCTCGGCCCAGCTAAACACTGCTGTCTGTTTGTGCTGTTTGCCTCCACAGTGAAGTCTTGAACATGGGAACGCTGGGATTGGGGGGGGGGGGGGGCGGGGTGGTGGAGCCATAAAGGCTGTCAGAGCTGGCTCGGGGGAATTTCAGCTTGAACTCCTGCGAGCAGAAGCCAGTCCAACAGAGCGCACTTAACACCATGACACCTCCATGTGCGATAGGATGTGTGTGTGTGTGTGTGTGTGTGTGTGGGTGTACACATGCAACAATAATGTGCAGCCCTCCCAGACTCCACGCCAGCTCTTCCTCCCGCTCCCCCCTTGGCTGGGGAGGAAGGGGGGGGGGCTTGTTCACCGTCTCCCTTCTTGGAGGTCAGGACTCTCTGGAGCTCTCTGAAGTGCAGAAACCTCAAAAACTCACGATCCAGTTTTCAAACGTGGGGCAAGTGTTCATGTTACCACAGTCAGGGAATATCTAACAAGCAGCGTATTATATTCCAAGAGCTCCCAGCTGGGAGGGAAAGACCAGCCTTGAAAAAAAGTAGCATAGAAAGACACGCTTATCTTAGCCTAGCTGTGCGCTTCGGGAGACCTTATTTGGCGACGTCTGAATAACATGCTATGAGGTTGGCAAAAATGCTGCCTCTGGCACTTCTCAGGCATCCTCTCTTTTCACAAAAGAGACTTGTCTAGCGAGCTGCATGTATTCTGCAGCCTGTGGATGTGAGTTTGCTTTTGGAGGTGTTTTGGATGCTATTTAAAAATCTTATAAAACCTGAGGGCAAATGCTTCATATATCCTCCTCCACACTGGTGCATTGAGAGGAGCTAACGTCTTGGACTGCTGCGTGCCTTTTTCCCACAAAATGATGTGATTGTAATCAGCAGGAAGGATATTATTTTCTCAGTTTTTGACTGGACTTATACTGTAGCTTCACAGAGATTCCGTGCCCATGCACAAGCCGGCTCACCTCGTCTTTCATCTGTTTTCCTTTCACTGTTTATCTTTGTACTGAAAACCCTGGGAATGTCCTCTCTCCGGCTGTTTGGCTGTTTGCTAACCACACAAATGTGCAGGGAGACGTTTTAAGTTTGCATGTAACACGGAGAGGGGTCAGGGTCAACCTCTGCTCAGCGCAGACACGCATTACGATCGCAGGGATAACCTGAGACGGAGACAGACTCAGGTTTGCTTTGAGTGCTGATCAGCTGGACAGACGTTGGGGAAATGTCTATGATGTAAAATCTAATTGACAGTGACATTTCATTTGTGCAAAACAGACAAAGGAATCTCATCACTTCCTATGTTGATATGTGGAGCCTGTGCTGAGCAGGATGAGAGTTTGGAATAGTGAGACAGGACAGATATTTAGTCAAAGGAGATTCACAAGAAGTTGTCAGAGTCAATCTGCCGCCGTAAACTAAATCTAAATTAGCAGATGGATGTAAGGTTTGAAGAGGCTTAGTCACTGAATCATTTTGACAGCGTAGATATTGTCATGTGTGTTGCTCAGCAGGATCAGCAGAGATGTGACGTTGTTGCAGTGAAACCAGGAAAACTATCCAGATGGTGTTAAAACACCACATGTAAGCCCGCTGCAGCATGCTCATCGTTAAAGAGATCTTTCTCAAAATCCCCGCTCATTCAGCGGAGAACAAGGCCTTGATACACATACGGGGGCTTAAAAGCGCCTCAGACGTCTTGGCAGTTACTGTATTTATCAAGGCTTCATTATGTGTAGGAGCAGGGAGCCCTTATGTGCTTAGCTGAAGGATGTGATGTTGCTGTTGCTTCATTATGGATGTAAACAAGACTACCCTAAATAATTGAAAGTGTGGCTTGGGAAACCTCAATGGCGGACCATTGTGATTTTACCACACGGCACACATTGAACAAATTTAGATTCATCCCTTGCACCAGGGTATTTATGCTTGCATTTAGTTTTATTTTGATTCAGCCCCCAAACCGCCCACAAACATAACGTAGTGATTTTGCTGCAGATAAATGGGGAAAAAAAGCTCACTTTTTAAAAACACATGCCACTCAGCGGTAATTCCATTTAGCCAGCGCGTTCCCTTTTTACTCAGTTTTACATAATTCGCAACTCTTTGAACGTACGAAAATCTTTTTTTAATGTGCAATTTTATGTAACCAAAAAATAAACTTCCAGAGCTTGAGATTTCTGGAAAGCAAAAGGCCTTGTTCTGCAATAAGACCTAACGAGATCCATTGCACAAGCCACTAATAGACGGATATAATCTGACCTTTGGAGCAGCGGAAAGGCTGTCGAGCGGTGTGGTTCATGCTCAGGTTTTTAATGTCGAGCTCGCCCTGCATGCCTTTCATCTGAACAAACTTACAGAAGCATGTGTGCTCGCAGCTGTAACCCCTTTGCTGAGGCATGGTTTTGGAAGTAGGACACACACACACATGCACACACACACAGAGGGGCACGTGACAGCGCAGCTTGAAACTGTCACCGCACAGCCACTGTATATCTTTGCAGCCATCACCAGTAGTGGTGTGCAGTGACTGAAGCCGGCACGGCAACATGTACAGTAGCCTACTCATTCAGGCACTGGATGTTTTTCCCAAAGTTGTGTTAGTCCACTGTTGGAAAATAATAATTTTGTTGGAATCTGCTCCTGCTACTGACTTTGACCTTTGTCTATTTCACCCCACAGCCCCTCATCGTCATCATGGGCTCTGATGACGAGATGCTCCAGGAAGCTGCTGCTGGCTGTGTGCGCAACATCCGACATCTGGCTCTGGCAGGGCTGATCAGAGCACCCCAGGAAATCCAATAGGGAACAAAAATGTGAGAAGAGGCTCTAAGCTTTATGTTTGACTTGTTAAAATAGTTCAACTCTCCCCACGTTTATTAATATTTGCTTTTGAATCCCCCCCCCACCCAACTTAGAAAAACAAATTTCAACAGCTCAACTCAATTCCACACATTAGGAGCGGAATCAGCATTCGCCAAAATAATCGTAAACATACCAAATGCTGCAAATTTCCAGCAACCCAGGGTTTTTCCTGGCTGAAAATTAGACAGGGGTGGTACTGAGCCATCAAACTATACAGATAGTCCCAGAGCTTAAAGGGAAAGGTAATGGGGTTTTTTTTAAAGAAAAGGGTGATATCTCTCTCTGTCTCTACTCTGGTTTCCTGTTTATTTTCACATTGATTTCAATGCCCTTTTTAGTCTAGAGTATTTTTTTCTTTTTATTTACTTAACAATCTTTCAATCGCTTATAAAGCACATTGAACTCCAATTGATGTGTTTGAAAGGTGCTATATAAATAAAGTGGAAAAAGTAGCTGGAACCGAGAGCAATTAAACTGTGCCCTCAGATTTTTAAACTGTGCACGATTTTGCCATCTGTTCCCATGGATTTGTCAACCATAGAGTTTCTTCTGAGCAGTCTGGTAGTTTGATTCACCTGCATTAGCACATACTATAGGTTAGTCACTGCAAGCAATAGCATTGGTTTATTTAAGATCAACAATGTTATAGGGGGAAGATGACCCTCGAAAACAAGGGGTACGGGGTAGGGAGAATGTGCACGGAACCCACCAAAACAATTGGATATTCAAAATGGTCTGTGGGCACAATATACAATACTTATCTTTGTACAGTCTCCTTCCAGTAAAAAAGGGCAGACTGTGACAGCCCAATATTTATATCAGCATCCATCTTGTTCTCCTCAAACTGAATGTGTTTCAAATAAAATGCGCAGAACCACAAGCGTTCTAAACATGCTATATCAAAATATGTCTGAGGTTTCAAATACAAATGTTTCGTCTTGATTGATGAGTGTGTATTTATTTGCCCCCTTGCTTCCGTTTTATCCTGAGCTCCTAATTTACATCAATTACCTCATCAAGGGTTCGTCCAAACATTTTAGGAAGCCTTCTTCTCGCTCTCTGACTGTCTCAACTTAGAAACCGTGTTGATAAAAATAATGCGTCTTTCCCCCGTTTGTTCTTTTGCCAAATGCCCCATACGTCGATCGGTGTGAGACAGCGTGAAGCTGCGTTCCCTGCAGGAACATTCCTTAAGTAATCCACACGTGACCACAATATCTAAACAAGACCCACATCTGTTTGGGTTGCTCAACCCTCCTCTTATACAGTTTGAAAACTCTGTAGTTGTAACACGTCCAAACTCAGAAAACACACCATCTCGAAAAATAGAATAACTTACTGTTCGCACCGAGGTAGAATACAGAGCATCTGCACAAATCTGTATAAATGTCACATGATATTATGAACACATAAATACAAGCTCTGGTGTCTTAAGTAGCAATTAGGAATACAATAGTGTCTGTCTCCATCACAGATATGTACAAGAATGAATTTAAAGTGTGATTACTCCCGGTTTATTCACAGTGATTTCACATTTTGTAGGGGTATTTATTATAAATAATAAAAACTTTACTTTATAAACAAGCTCATTATTTTTGTCAGTAAAAACAAAAATGTTTTATTTATTTGTCCAGTTGGAAATATATTTGTAGCCAAACACTCCTATGGCTTTTAGTCAACACCAACAATAAAACAATGTAATTAAGAATGTTTGAAATGATATTCCCCCAACGAGGACCCTGTCTTTTGCTTTACAGATTCACACACAGCAGTCTTAAGTGAAAGCAGCCCACAGCTGCTGATCTGGGATTGTCTGATCCCTTTGTCTTCTGTTCTTGTTTATGATAAACAGGCCATGTCAGGGTTGACAGCCTGTTGCACAGCACATTCAGTAAAAGCCTCCACCACCGCCCCTCTGCATGTCTGTCGGCCTATCTGCTTCTGATCCCTCTGTCCTGGTCCCAGTTAGCTTAGATGCTCAGCACAAACCACAGACTCTGCCACAAGATCTCATGGGACTTTCATCACTACCATTGGCCACGTGCTAAAATCAAAAATTAGCAAAACACTGAAAATATGTGGTTGAAAATCTTCGTCACTCTTTGAAGTTTAAACACTACCAGCTGCACGTGGGGGTCACTAGAGGAGCACGGACGGAGGAGAGTACACGGGTGAACTTATTACTCCGAAGAAGCTTCCTCCGAAAAAACAGAACGGGGAGCTGAAGGAAGCCACTGTCTCCAAACTATTCCGAGCAAATAAATTCACGATGATTAATGGCTCCTTAATTCCACGCAGCACTCTTTATGGCCTCTGCAGCATGCCCAATGTCAAAACTGATTCTGAAGAAATGTTAAAAGGAAAAACATTTAGTCAGTTAAACAAATAAAGAAGGAAACATATTGTTTTCTTCTTGTGTGGCTGCTTATAGGCTTTCCTTTTCTCCCTTTATATGTTTATATTTGCCTCTCTAATTTCTCTTAGTTTTAGCTTCTGGCTCGACTTATACAACTAAGAAATAGTTCAACAACCCGGGGACGAGATCATTCTTTCCAACATTTAGGTAAGAAGATTGTATCAATCTCATGCCTGTGTGTTAAGTAGCGAGCTGGAGTCAGGATGTGGTTAGCTTAGCTTAACATGAAGACTAAAAGCAGTGCGGAAACAGCGAGTCTGGCTCCTTCTCTGCCTGGCGTCCTAATAAAGCATTTACAAAAGCAGTTTAAAATACTTAAAGTCTTGCAATGTTTACATCCATGTTTCCTTGCTAACAGGTTTCTTCTTCCTTGCCTTTAGTTCCGCATCTCCTGTACGGCCATGAACTTTTGATCTTTGGCTCATACAAGCAGCAACATTTGAATTTAGACAGCACTTTCCTGTATGCCCACACAAATGGGAACCCTATCATAATAGCATTACAAAAGCCCACAGGCCACCTTTAATGTGCACAGACAGGCTGAATTTTGTCAGCACAATAATATTTCTTCAGATTTTTCAGCCATGTGTACATGCAGCCAGATTTCTAATTGGACAAAGACACATTCAAGATATATGCACTGACTTCTCCTTCAGACCTGTATGAATCTTCTCACTACTAAAGAAAAGGTGCGTCACTCTCCTCTCTGGGCCTGATGTTGAACCTTGCACAGAGCAGAGGCCAAGAGGAAGCAGTAAGTCGGGTTCAGGAGCCTCGGGCCCATCGGTCATAAAGCCACAGTTGAGTGTATTAGTTGAGCCACAAACCCTCTGAGAAAAGAAACTGCCACTTTCTTTGGCTTGCCGTCTGACACAGGGACATTATTCACAGGAAATTAGAGGTTCTGCCTCCACGCCTCGGCAGAGGCAGCAATTACGTCCAGCTCTGGCCTTTCTGTTTACCATTCAAGATCCCATGCTTCTCATTTTTTTCAAGGAGGGGATCAAAATAGTGTAGGGATATCCCTGATGTTGTTGCCCCTGTTTTGAGGTACATGTGGGCCCCGGCATCTGCCACACCCCTGCATGTCAACTGGAATGTCTCACCATTGGCCTGACCTTCACCCTGTCCAGACTGAGGCAGACATTTCCCATAGGTCGGGGTGATGGATGCAACCACATTTGAGGACTTTATTACATATTACACAAGACTGATGGATGGAAATATCCTTCCTGAAGTCGTGACATTTGTCTGTCCACATTTTGGGTGGATGGAGTAATAAATATATATCGCTTATTTTTACAGTCAGGCAGTCCCTCAGAGCGTGAGCTGTGTGTTGTGATATTAGCACAGTTGCTGGAACCAACCTTTTGAAGTTCTTTTAAAGATCCCACATCTCCCCAGGCGTCCTGCAGCAATATTTCATAAAAGTAACTAATGAACAGTAAAAGTCCTTTCCAAATATTAGAAGTGGCTTTTAGTCCCCTTCAGTGTCTAAGGGCCAGTTTTAATATAAAATGACAAACTGTTGCACAGCAGTGGCAGCAGCGTGGTTTGCTTGTGATGCAGCCATTAAAAACATGCGTGTACACAACGGCCTCTCAGAGCTCCGTCCAAACACGGAGCAGTGCTCTCTGGAAGCCAAGGGACCAGGGCGAGAACACGTCCTCTGTTCTCAGTCTGTAAATTAGCTTTTATATCATTACAGCATGCTCACACCACCAGGTCTGCTGGTGCGAGCCACGCGTGTCGGGCTCACTGTTTGCTCAGCGGCCTGCCTCTCTGCATCCGTGGCCGCATCGCTCACAACATCTCACGTTTCTATACTCTCTAGCAACTTAATGTGCTGTCCTGTGATGCACATGCATTTCTCACTGGACTTTTCTTTCAAGGACATTTTTAGGAGAGTTTTCACAGCACTAATGAATCCTGACATCCCCTTCCTTAAAGTGTAAATAACAAGCTGGCATGACAATAAATAAACAGAGAAATGAGTGGGTAAATACCACAGCGTCTGGGTCACATTTCAATGCTGCAAGACTAATGTCTCCATAAAGGTCTCAAAAAGATTCATAATACCTACATTGGTCGTGACAGCTGTGGCTTTTAGTAATTTATGTTAATTACAAGTATTAGGCTGTTCAAGTCTCAGTGCGCGTATGAACCATGTATAGATGCATTAAGTTTTACGTCTGTTCTGAATGGCCACACTTTAGGACCATGGCTGTATATTTGTGTCACACTTCTGGTTATGTAACAGGACATTTTTATGACAAACGTCTTCTAGCAGTTTCATATACACTGTTCAAAAATGTTAAGGGAACACTAAAACGTCACAGTAGAACCAAGTCAGTTAAACTTCAATGATATCAATCTGTCCATTTAGGAAGTTCACTGGTTTTGGTCCAAATGAAAGTGACAGGTACAAAGAGGCAGAAACAAGAGAACCCCCCCTATTAAAGGAATGGTTTTGCATGTTATGGCCACAGACAGTTGCGCTCTCCTCATCCTTCCTTACTGAGTCTTCTCTAGTGTCCTTTTCACTACTGGTAGCATGAGACACAATCCTGGTAGTAAGACACCATCCACCGACTCAGCAGGAGCATGTCCAGACGTTTTCAGGAGTGCACACAGGCCCGCGGAGGCCGAACACACTACTGAGTCACTTTATGAGTTAAAGTGATGAAATTTGGATCAGCCTGTGTTTTCAGTTTTTTACTTTGAGTTTCAGTGTGATTTGGAATCCAGTCCTCAATGGTTTGATGATTTTGGTTTCCATTGACCGGCAGAGAGAAGGTGGAAAAAGGACAAACTCTGAGTGTCCTATGAAATCTTATAGAGCCGTCTATCTGATCATCAGAAAGCTGTAAAATCGGCAAAACTGAGTTTATATCTAACTTAATCTCCAATAACTGTCACAGGCCTCAGGTTCTACTCCTATTCTACCTACATCTGTCCTCTGTGATTCTTTTCTTAAATTCTTTGTTGAAAAAAATGTCTCTTCTTAGATCTTCTTTGACCAGCCCACTGGCCATGACCCCCCTATCCCTCCTATGTGCCCAGCTGTCTTGGATCAGTTTGAGCCCATATCAATCTCCTCCCTTCACGAGGTGGTCCAACATCTGCTGCCCACAAATTGCCCCTAAGATAGCATCCCCCCTCGTCTTTTTAAGGAAGTCTTTGACACTGTAGGACCATGTATTCTGTCATTGATAAATACCTGTCTTCTCTGAGGTTGTGTCCCAGCTGCCTTTAAACATGTTGTTGTGCAGCTTGATCCCTCTGATCTGTCCAACTTCAGGTCCATTTCTAAACTGCCATTCTTGTCCAAGTCCTGGAGAAACATTTCTAGTCAACAATAATGTATATGAAATGTTCCAGCTTGGTTTTAAACCTCGTCACAGCACTTAAAACTCTTTTAAGAGTTTTCATTGCTCCTATATTAACTGTTAATTTAGGAGACTCTGCTGTCCTGGGGCTCTTAGACCTGACGGCAGTGTGACAACAGGTTTGAGTGGAGGGATTGAAGCTAGTGCACTCAGGTGGTTTCAGTCCCGCCTAACAGATTTGAGTTTCTGTCCACCTGGGTGATTACTCCTCTGGGTCGGCCCCACATGTTGCACCATAGGGTTTCATTCAGAAAAAAGAGAATGGGTTGCAGGCTATTATGAAGCAATAATACAAATAAACATTTCTAAAGTGTTCAAGGTCCAAACTGAACCTCTTTGCTCCTTTCGATACCTTGATTAAATCAAATGGTGATCCAGGGAGTGTCAGTACCCACCAATCCCTACTGAAGTTTCTATTTCACAAAGAAATATTTTTTTCTAATCTCACAGATGTTGCACCAGTCAGACTTTGTCTTTAAAAACACTGACATTTTCATCCCATAAATATAAGAGGCAGATTGGTGGAGGCTCTGGGCACGATTTATGTTAGATTAGTCATCCTGGCTCATCCCGAACTGTTACGGCACTCAACATCTAATGAAACCATCTACCGACCGGATCTGTTGTCTGTTGTAGTCAGTGGAAGGTGGAAGAGGGAGGGGGCCCAGGCTTTAGGATATGCTTGTCAACCGCATTAACAG